GAACTTCGTCCCGCCCATATTTAGATTTTTAATTTAATCTTTTTGGTCCAACATTTTCTCCAACAGTCCGCGATTTCCATTGGTAAATTCATCGGCTAAGATTATGGTTTGGTGGTCGTTTGCCGCCTTAAATAAACTAACGAAAGTGTTATGTCCATGAAGAAGGTCCCCGGCGGCAACAATGATCCGGATCTATAGTGAATTTGCCCTAGAAACTTTATCTTATAGTTGGTGGCAATTTCAAAATGGATGCGTATCCTTGTTCAACAGAAATACAATATACATACATAGACTGAGATGAAATACCTTAAAAGCCAGTTTCACGAAAGCAATTTTAGTGAAAAATTATTTTTTTTCTATCAGGTTCTATATTAAGTTCAATTAAACAAATAAATCTTCATTAAATTGCTTTTATTAAACTGGCTTTTAAGATATTTCGACAGGTAGTGGTTTGAGATTTACCACTGCAAAAATCAACCCTGGTATGTCCGAATGAAGCTCTAACGCATAATAATATTGGCAAATCACGTCCATTAGGCCATTCGTAATACACGTAGGGATGTAACATCGATGTTTCGATGCATAGGAAAAATGAACATCGATGCTAAAATACATTGCCAGAAAAACATCGATATATCGATGGTTTCCGATGTTTCGAAATTTGTTAGGAAAATCTAATACTTTTCAATTCCAAATCTCTGTAATTCAATTATTGCCTTCATTTATTTACCATTCCTTCCCATTAAATAGAATAGAAATGCATGCAGTCGTAAGTTCGCTGAGCCTAAAGTTCCAAGACCCAATTTCGTTGAAATTTTAACGGGATCCCGGTCCTTTTTAAAATGACTAAGTATGCATTTTTAATATCGAAAGATAAGAGTGAACCCAGAATTTCTGAATGTTCCTTTTAAAAGTATGAATATTAAAATTCATTGCCAGTCAAAAAATTTTAGGAGCATAATTCGATGTTAAAACATCGCTGAAACTGGCATAGATATATCGTCTATTAAGCGATTTTAGGAAATTGTAAACATCGATGGCAAACATCGAATTTCGAACCGATAATATCGATGTTTCAAAAATAACGATGCATCGTTTGCATCCCTAAATACACGAGAGTTCGATATACTCAATGGTGCAACAGGTCGATTTAGTCTGACATTCACGGCACCTTTTCTCACTTGTCGATTTTTAGTAATAACTCGAGCTCAGCATCGCCTCACATATCTTTTTTGCAATTGGACTTCCTTTACCGTTTCCAATACATGTTTTAAATACTCGTCACATACTCGGATCATAAAAAAAAAGATTTTAAGTAATAACTCAACTCCAGCGCCAACTGGCGGGTTAAATTGTGAAACTAAACTATCCAGAGACTCACTCAAAGACACACACACAACTTTTTTGAAAGCCCTCCAGCCATTTAGGATTTCACTCACAAACATACTTACCGAAGAATTATATACACATTCAAAGATAAAGAAAAGTCACTTTGCCATGCCCTCTTTTCAAAGAGCCTACTTTTCTCCATAAGTATGGGATTCATTTCATATATCTCCATACGAAGTTCCAGTACTGTACCATGAACACTTCCAGAGATATGCAGTATGAAATCCGGCTTGTATGGTAGGTGCCACGCCCCCTTTTGCAATAGCTCCATATTTTCTCAATGACTATGTGATTAATTTCATATATCTCCACACCAAGTTCCAGTACTCTACCAAGAACAATTCTAGAGATATGCAATAAGAAAAATTCTACTTGTATGGGAGGTGCCACGCTGGTATAAAGTTCCAGTACTCTACCATAAACACTTCCAGAGATACTTATGATGAAAAATTCGGTTTATATGGGAGGTGCCACGCTCCATTTTCAAATAGTCCGAAATTTTATTCATGAGTATGCGATAGATTTCTACTCTACCATGAACATTTCCAGAGATACACAGTATGAAAAATTCGGTTTGTATATGAGGCGCCACGCCCCTTTTCCAATAATTCAAATTTTTATCCATGAGTATGTGATTGATTTCATATATTTCCGTATCAAGTTCAAAAATTTCTCCAATTTTTCTCAAGAGTATGCGATTGATTTCATATACATAGTATCCCCATACCAAGTTCCAGTACTCTAGCATGAACACTTCGGTGTTCGGTAAAAATTCGGTTTATATGGGAAGTGCCACGCTCCCTTTTCAAATAGTCCGAATTTTTCCTCATGAGTATGCGATCGATTTCATATATCTCCGCACTCAGTTCCAGTGCTGTACCATGAACACTTCCTGAGATATGCAGTATGAAAAATTCGTATTGTATGGGAGGGCCCACGCGCTTTTACAATAGCTCAAATTTTTCTCAAGAGTATGCGACTGATTTCATATACATAGTACCTCCATACCAAGTTCCAGTACTCTGCCATGAACATTTCCAGAGATATACAGTGTGAGGTGACACGCTCCTTTTCTAATACCTCCAATTTCTCTCCATGAAATTGTGACTGGTTTCATATATTTTCGTACCAAGTTTAAAAATTGTACCATGAACGCTTCCACTACTTAATTTAGTTAGGATAAGATATGGGTTAGCCACGGATTAGAGACATGAGCCTCTTAAAAGTAATAAGAGATTTAATTTTTTTTAATTTTGAGTAGCGTCGTTATTGCATCGGCATGTGAATTCACATAATTCGATAATGAAATAACTTCGAGCATAAGTACGATTTTTAGTTACATATACATATAATTTTTCCTGTTATCAATACATATTTTGAATCTGAGGATAAACCCGATTTTAAGTAATAACTCGACTTCAACGCCATCTGGAGGCTCTTTTTTTTATGGTATTGCTTTCCCTATTGTCAATACATATCTCGAATATGAGGCGAGTCGGACCATAAACACGAGTTTTAGTAATAACTCGACTCCTACACCACCTGGCGGCTTTTTTTTGCAGTGGTATTGTTTTTTCCTATTGTCAATACACATTTCAAATATGAGGCGAATCGGACCATAAATACGGGTTTTACTAATAACTCGACTCCAGCGCCACCTAGCAGTTGTTTTAATAGTTATTCTGCTATTCGGAAGGCAGACAAATTCAAGAAACAAATATCATAAAAATCGGTCCAGCCGTTCTTGAGTTATAAATGTTGTATCTAACACGACTTTGTTTTTTGTATATAGATGTGAGCAAACAACATTTTGCTTGCATAGTCTTCTGTTCTCTTTCCCTGCAAGTTGAATTATCATAATATCTATTGCAAAATTTTGTACAGACAAGACTAAAAAGTATAAAATAAATAAAATAAAATAAAACTTTTTAATATACAACGATTTTATAAACGGACTAAAAAGTAAAAAATAATATTTCTCAGTCCCTCAGAATTTGTTTTGATAACTTTTGATTTTGAAATTTTAACAAAAGTCATTATAAACAATTAATGACATTGAAAATTAAAAGCTTGGGGCGCATGTAATACACTTGAATTGATACGAAACGGAACATATGTGTAAGGTCCACCGAAAAATAGCATCCTTGTGGTATGTATGGTAACATGTATCGGCAACCCTGGCCGAAACGGAGAGCGAGTTACGCAGTTGAGATCGTCGGGTCGATGGGGAAATTGTCCTTTTGCTGAAGTTAATAAATTTTCTAATTACACCTTACTTTAAAAATATTAATAAACAATAACTTTCTAATTCGATATGTGAATATAAATGAATCGGCGGTGTTTCATTTAAGCGGAATCCTGACAAAATAAAAGTGTTTAAGAACGCTTTTAGTTCAGAAGTGAGACGCTTCTCACAGCCTCACAGTGTGTGTTATTGTCGATGTTGGTGTAAGCAATTGCATGTACGAATAGACGTGCGGTTGAATATTACAACCAGGAGAATTGTTTTTGTGATCTGCTTGTTGCGCGTACGAATGGACGAGCGGCTGGCGAAGCAGAAAAGAAAAGCAAAATAATAAAATTAAAAGAAGATACAGTGACGGTTTGCGTTTGAATTGCTACAGAATTTTTTTTGTGATCTGCTTGTTGCGCGTACGAATGGACGAGCGGCTGGCGAAGCAGAAAAGAAAAGCAAAATAATAAAATTAAAAGAAGATACAGTGACGGTTTGCGTTTGAATTGCTACAGAATTTTTTTTGTGATCTGCTTGTTGCGCGTACGAATGGACGAGCGGCTGGCGAAGCAGAAAAGAAAAGCAAAATAATAAAATTAAAAGAAGATACAGTGACGGTTTGCGTTTGAATTGCTACAGAATTTTTTTTGTGATCTGCTTGTTGCGCGTACGAATGGACGAGTGGCTGGCGAAGCAGAAAAGAAAAGCAAAATAAAAAGAAGATACAGTGACGGTTTGCGTTTGAATTGCTACAGAATTGTTTTTGTGATCTGCTTGTTGCGCGTACGAATGGACGAGCGATCGGCGATACGAAGTAGAAAATAGTTGGCGAGAAGACATAGTGGCGGTTTGCGTTTGAATCACATTCGGTGTTGTGTAAAACTTTCAAAATTGGCGATCTCTCGTACGAATGGACGAGAGGTTGACTAGCCGAAAGAGAGACAGTGACGGTTGTGTGTTGTTATTGCCGCAAATTTCAAATGTGTGTCCGAGTGGACAAACAAAGCAAAATAAAGTAAAATAAGAATCTAATAAGAATATTCGCTCGAAACGAAAATTGCAAAATGAAGATAAAAGCGGCAACATTAAAAGTTGACGAGCTGAAAGAGCAGCTACGTAATAATGATTTACTAACATCGGGTACAAAAGCCGAATTGGTACTGAGACTTTGCAATTTCTTGGACAGCGATGAAATTGAAAGTGAAAATTCACGACCTGATTTGCAAATTCAAGTAAATGATCTGCGTTCAATGATGCAAAATATAATGACGACCATGCAAAGCTTGGCCGGTCAAATGCAGCAAGCAAATGTACAAGCAGTGCATGAAAGTGCTAATGAAGAGCGTTTCNTGATCTGCGTTCAATGATGCAAAATATAATGACGACCATGCAAAGCTTGGCCGGTCAAATGCAGCAAGCAAATGTACAAGCAGTGCATGAAAGTGTTAATGAAGAGCGTTTGGTTATTTCACCACAAAACCCAGCAAGAACAGTGAGCCGAAGTGCAAGTGTGAAGGAAATTGCCGAAACAATTCCTGAGTATGACCCAACTAGCGAGAGCTCGCTTACAGTGACACAATTTGTAAACAGAGTGGACAGTGCCATAAGTGCATACGACTGGGACGAAAAGTGTTTACTTTTGGCTGTGTACAGTAAATTAAAGGGTGTTGCGCGAATGTGGTTGGATGCAGCACCAACATTTCATTCAAATTGGCCTGATTTGGCAAGAGCTTTGAAGAATGAATTTGGTTGCGAATTTAATGAAGCGGAAATACACTCTAAAATGGCAAGTGCGACACGTAAACAAAATGAAAAAATCATAGATTATTGTTTTAGAATCAGTGGACTCGGTCGACGGTATGGTCTGACTGAAAGTGCGATTATAAAATACATTCGCGACGGATTAAAACACCGTGAGTTGCAGACCGCAATAGCTGCATTGAAGTTTAATACAATTAAAGAGATGCGCGAAGCAATTGAAACTTACCTCCAAAATGTATCATCTACCAAACAATTCAAAAACGAGTATATGAGTGATCGAAATAAAGACAGTGTAAAAGATATAAATCGAAGTGCGGTTGAAGCAAAAAGTGTAACGTGTTATAATTGCAAAGAGGCTGGGCATTTCGCGCGGAATTGCCCCAAACCGCGGCAGCAGCGTAAATGCAAAGACTGTAGCAAGTTCCACGGTAGTGGCGAGCCAGAAAATTGTGGAAAAAAAGCAGTAATTGTTAAGCATGCACAGATCCAGCAACCAGCGAAGTTTTGCGAAAAATCCATCACTGTAAATGGTAAGTCGTTAGTAGCTTTTGTAGACACTGGGAGTGAATGCAGTATGATACGACGATCAGCGGTTGACAGTTTGAATACCAAAAAGTATCCATGCGCTATAGAAATAATAGGTATTTGCGGTGGTAAACGTGCATCCACAGACAAGATTAACGTAAATATGACGTTTGATGATGTGGCTTTAAAGGTTGATTTGTTCATTGTTGACGATGACATATTATCCATGGACGTACTTTTGGGGCAAGACATTTTCAAAAATGAAGGCGTGGTAGCTGAAATAAAGAACGACAACTTCGTGTTTACTATGCAGGTAGCAAAGGTAAAACACCCAGCAGTGAATTTTAGCGATATTATTTGCAGCATTGATGACGAAATAGTTAAAGCTGACTTGCAAGAATTATTAGCAGAAAATGTCAATGTGTTTGCAGAAAAACTTAGCGACATTGGCTTAACTAACGCGACGAAAATGAAAATTGAATTGACAACGAACGTACCGATTGCTCAAAAACCATACAGGGTGCCTGAGCCAAAAAAGCATCTAGTAGCAGAAATGATCAACGAACTGTTGGCAAGCGACATAATTACCACATCTAATTCGGAGTATGCAAGTCCAATAATTTTAGTAAAGAAGAAAACTGGGGGTGAGCGCCTTTGTGTTGACTACCGGCGGCTTAATCAGTTTACAACAAAAGAGATATATCCAACGCCAAATATCGAAGAAAGGTTAAGTGAAGCAATGAGGTATAAATATTTTTCCGTTTTGGATCTGAACAGCGGGTATTACCAGGTACCAATCGAAGAAGGGTGTCGCAAGTACACAGCGTTTGTAACGACTGAAGGTTTATTTGAATTCAAGAGGATGCCGTTTGGCTCAGAAATGCGCCGGCGGTATTCCAGCGTTTGATGCAGGGTATCAAAGATAGAACTCAACCTGGTGATATGATACACTATATGGACGACATATTAGTGGGTAGCAACAGCATAGCCGAGATGCATGAGAAGTTGGCGCGAGTTTTTAAGGCATTGCGTGAAATAAATTTGACACTGAATATTAACAAATGCGAGTTTATGAAGCAGACGATCGAGTTTTTAGGACATCAGCTTCACTCAGGTGGCGTAAGTCCAGGCAGTGTGAAAACAGCAGCCGTAAATAATTTTTCTACTCCAAAATCCACAACGGATGTAAGACGTTTTCTTGGGCTAAGTGGATATTTCAGGCGATTTGTTCCAGGGTACTCGATTGTTAGCGAGCCGTTGCGTCGTTGTTGCGTAAGGATCAACATTTTAAATGGGGTGAAAAGCAAGAAGAAGCATTTCTAGCTTTAAAGACGGCCTAACATCGAAACCGGTGATGACGCATACCGTGTTGAAGCAGATCATCAGATTCATACCGATGCCAGTTCTGTTGGCATTGCGGGCGTCCTTTTGCAGCGAGAAGGAGGTGACTGGAAACCAATTGCATATTACAGTCGATCAACGACGGACAGCGAGAGAAGCTTTCATAGTATGAGCTGGAAGTTTTGGCGGTGGTGAGCAGCTTAGAGCGATTTAGGTATTACGTGCAGGGGAAGGAAATTGTAGTTGTTACTGACTGTAGCGCAGTTACTACAGCAATGAGCAAACGTGAGTTGATACCAAGAATTGCACGTTGGTGGCTACGAATCCAGGATTTTCTTGTAAAGCTGGAGCATCGACCAGGCAGAAGGATGGAACATGTCGATTTTCTCAGTCGAATGCCAAGCGAGAAAGCTGAAGAAATCGATACGGCTCTCTGAAAATTGCGAAAACAACATTAGAAATAGGTGACTGGATATACAGCATGCAGCATCAAGATAAAGATATTCGCGCTATTCTTGAGAAATTAGCCAGCGGTGACAAAGTTATCACTGAAGAGTACAAAGTCGAAAACGGACGAGTTTACAGGAAGCAGAAAGGTACTAAACTGTGGGTAGTACCAAAAGCAATGCGATATAAAATCATACAGGACGTTCACGAAAAAATTAAGCATCTTAGCACGGAGAAGACGTTAGAAGAAGCACAAAAAATTTTTGGTTTCCCCGTATGCGTAATTTTACAAAATCGTTTATAAAAACATGCATCGAATGCGCATATAATAAGCAGCGTGGGGGTAAGACAGAAGGGGTGTACCATTACGACGAAATTGAACCTGTACCATTCAAGACGGTACATATCGACCATCTCGGGCCTTTTCCCCGAAGCAAGAAGCAAAATGAGCACATCATAGTTCTGGTAGATTCATTCACAAAATTTACTGTAGTACGAGCAGTTAGGAGCACGGCAACGCGACATGTATTGACACTTCTGAATGAAGTAAACAGCTATTTTGGAGTGCCAACTCGAATAGTAACAGATCGTGGAACAGCGTTTACTTCCCACGATTTCAAACAATATTGTAGCGGTAACGACATAAAGCATATTTTGAATGCTGTTCGAACTCCACGAGCAAACGGGCACGCAGAGCGTACCAATCGAACTATTCTGGGTATGTTACTACCAGCGGCGAAAGACGTAAAAGCTGGGACGAGCAACTAGGAGGTATACAGTGGGCACTCAACACGAGAAAAATAAAACAACACAGAAAACTCCACAAGAACTTTTATTCGGCTTTAAGCTCGAGATACTCTACAAAATAAATTAATTTTAGCACTACATGAAGACGAACTTATCAGTGGCGACGAATTGAAAGAGATTCAAGCAGAGCAGTTTGTCGAATCAATCAGCAGCGAGAAAAAGCTAAACATAATTTCACAAAAAACATCGAAAACCTACACAATATGACGTCGGCGATCTGGTTCTCGCCGAAAATGAGCCCGTTAGTACTGGTGGTTCTCGCAAATTGGAACCACTGTACAAAGGTCCGTTTATGGTAACGAAGGTAATTGGACACGACCGGTATCTCATTGAGGATATACCAGAGTCGAAACGCAAGCAACGACATTATACGTCAATTTTTGCATCTGACAAGCTGAAGCCATGGTGCAATTTACCGAATTTCGACGGGTTCGATGACGACGATGGAGCCGAGGGCGACTCCAGTGATCAGGATTGGCCGACTGTAAGGTCCACCGAAAAATAGCATCCCTGTGGTATGTATGGTAACATGTATCGGCAACCCTGGCCGAAACGGAGAGCGAGTTACGCAGTTGAGATCGTCGGGTCGATGGGGAAATTGTCCTTTTGCTGAAGTTAATAAATTTTCTAATTACACCTTACTTTAAAAATATTAATAAACAATAACTTTCTAATTCGATATGTGGATATAAATGAATCGGCGGTGTTTCATTTAAGCCGAATCCTGACAAAATAAAAGTGTTTAAGAACGCTTTTATATGTATGTATGTGGGTATATGAATAACGACCGCTTAAAATCGATCTCAAATTTGTACTTTCGCTGTAGAATGTTATGTAGTTTGACTATTGTCAATGAAATCGAATGCTTTGTACTACATGCGCTCCACGTTTTTTATTTTCAATGACATTAATTGTTTATAATGACTTGCTAAAATTTCAAAATCAAAAGTTATCAAAACAAGTTCTGTGGGACTGAGAAATATTAAATTCTACTTTTTAGTCTATTTTTAAAAGCGTTGTATATTAATTAGTTTTATTTTATTTTATTTATTTGTAATAATCGTATTTAGCGTTTTGTTAAACTACGGAGTTACGATTTTTGGCGGGTTGTAGAGTGGCCACCATTTTGAAAACAAGAGTGGTCAGCTTTTTGCCCAGAGTTTAACTCATCAACTCTCACCAGAATGGACCTTTTTGAACCACTATTGAAAAAATGGCTTATAGGTGGTTAAAATTTCACCGAAAACTTAAACCTTCTGCTGATTAATACCGAATAGTAAATATAAAAGGTGTAATGAATAATTATATAAACTTTCACCAACTTTAACAATGTGTAGAAAGCATTGCGATACGATGGAGCACCTGCCTGGTTTGTGCCTACTACTTATGAATACTAACGTCACACAGAGATTCGAATAGAACAAGCTAGCTGGACAAAAGTCGTCATTGAATTTTTGTATTATAATTAATGAAAATGACAACAAATATTCTAATTATTATAAATTAGCTAAAATTTTTGCAATATTATTTTTCAAGAATAAGTAATTATTTGTTCTTATCAGAAAAACTGGCGCACATATTGTATAATTACATGCTGTGAACTTATTGCTATTTTGCATGCCGTTCTTTTATAGAGCTGTGTTTATTTTATATTTGTGAATGATTTGCAAGCCAAAGGTAAATACCGTTTATTATACCCGAGCGCACTTGTGCACAAGGGTATCTTAACGTTGTTCACATAACGATTGTTTGTAACAGCCAAACGAATCGAGATAGATATAGACAAATGTATACATAAATGCTCAGAATTAATAGAGAAGTCAATTAAGCCATGTCTGTCTTACCGACGATAACTCGAGTGCAAATTGAGATATCTCAACGAAATTTTGTATATAGGTTTTTCTTTAATCAAGGTAGGTTGGTATTGAAAACGGGCGAAATCGGATTGTAACCACGTCCACTTCCCATATAACGGTATTTTCGAAAAATGCAAAAATTACGAAATTTCAGTAAATATTGGATCAAAATTATTGAAAATTAGTATGCGAAGCAGAATTTTTAGTAGAAATTAGTAACATCATGAAATTTTTGGAAAATGGGCGTGATCCCACCCACTTATAATGAAATTCCGTATAGCAGTAAACTCGGTATGAGCCTTGCCTAGGCCTAGCTTAGAAATGTTTTGAAAATCTTTGAAATCGGGCAATAACCACGCCCACCTCTCCAACAACGATAATTTACAGAAGCACGACAACTGCGATAAATCAGTAACTAATGAAGCTAATTGACTCAAAATCGAGAATTACAATAACCACTAAGCGGAAAATTAGATTATTATACATTTTTATATAAATGGCGTGGCGCCGTCCCCTTACGACCACAAATGTGTATCTCGGTAACCGATTCATCGATTTCTATGAAACTCGGTGCACTCAATAACCTTACAAGAAAGATATTCGTTGAAAATTATTCAAACCGGACTGAAATTGTACCCACTTCCCGTATAGCGCTAAATTTCAGACATCCGAAAACTCCGATATTTCAGTAACTGAGGAACCGAATTTACTCCAAGCTAATAGTTACAACAATCTCTTAACAATAAATAAGACTGCTATAGACAAGGTGTATCTCGGTAACAACTTTATATATTTCTACCAAGCTTGGTTCAATTATTCCATTAAGTTTAAGTCAGCATATTATCGAAAAAGTTTGAAATCAGGAAAACCCCCCTGCTTATCATCCAAATGTAGTTTAGAGAAAGTTAAAACGACGATATTTGATACCTGCGCCGGGTATTTGCATATATGTAATACTTCTATATTGGCAGTAAGCTAACTTCTCAATGTGTAAGCATTCCGAAATCAAAGCGAGACGCTCTAGTACTGTTTTCGTCAATGTCCCAGCAAGAACAGTGACGGTCACTTTCCTAGTGACGTGACCGTCACGCGTGCCCGCTAAGTTCGGCACGTTTTGCTATCACATTCTTCATAGTGAATCAAAAATGCTCCCAGAAGTTTTGTGTACGTGTGATTCTTCAAACCAAATAGTTTGCCTGCTTGCTCATATTTGAAAAGATTAGCGTGACTACTTACTCATATGTGAAAGATAGCTCGCACGAAAAAACAATAGATGGCGCTCCAATCAAAAATTAGTACAGGAGTGTTAGTAACACCATAAAATTTGCGTTTGGGTTGGAGGTTCGGTCACGCTGGTTTTGCTGGGGTGTTCCGTTTTGTCTTTCGTACATGTTTTTTGATATATCTGTACTGTAGTGTTTTCGGACGGTACTAGCTCTTACTGCCAATATAGGAGTATTACATATATGGGTATTTGGTTTCGCTCGAACTTATACTTCTTTAATGGTTTTCTATGTAATACTGTATATATCACTATTTATTAGGTACTGTAGACGAAATGTCAAAATCTTGAACTTCGAAAATTTTTTTTCCACTATTTGCATTTATTATTGTGAAAGTTCGGAAATAATCACTCACCTTCGTACGCGAATGCGAACGTGAACGTATCAAAAATTCTCTATTGACAGATCGTTCGCGTTCGCGAATGTTAGGTAGAACAAAATAACGGCATGA